TTAAGTTCCTTCCTTAGTTCATTTCCTCAGTGGTCATTGTGTTAGAATGTGAGATGTTACTGTGTTCTGCGTTGATGGGCGTTGATGGGCGTTGATGGGCGTTGATGGGCGTTGATGGGCGTTGATGGGCGTTGATGGGCGTTGATGGCCGTTGACGTTCTGTTGGGGATTCCCCCCCCCCCTAATTCTTCACCATGTGTTGTGCATTTCTGAGCTTTCTGCATGGTTCTGTTATTTTGTAGTTTTCTCAGTTTTGTTGTCAGTGATTTGCTGCAGCATGCCTTTCTAGCTTTGATGGCAGCCACTGTGTTGCAGCTTGCATGTATTATACTTCTGAATTCCTCATTTTACCATAATTCTCTGTTCCACCGCTTTGAAATACATAACCCTGCTGCGTTCCATGCTTATGTGATCAGCTGATTGTTGCACACAGCACATATGTTAAGGAAGTAATCTTGGCTTCATCAAGAAATCCTGGCTTGACATAAATTAGTGATAGCGTCATGACAGCAGTTCTCAGATTGCATTTGTTTGGTTTTGTTAAGCAGAAACTTCTTACCCTGAGTTTCGTGACCCAGGCCATGGAAGTTAAAACACAAATGTTGAAGAAACAAATTCTTGAAAGGGTGCATGGTGAAATAAGGTGAATACAGGGGATAATGACACCGTTACCTGGAATACCTATCGCTATACACATTATGCTCATGGCCAGCTTGTGGTCAGAGTGAATAGTGGTCTCGCAAAGGCGCTGCATATCAGCTGCTGTAAGCACGTCGGCGTCTGACGAAATTGGCGTGGCAAAAAATTGATTGAAAGTGATATTAAATGTTTTTATTTGAAGCAGGAGACTTCAGGCAAAAGAGACGGACTCATCTGACAGTTATGCAGGAAGGGATGAATGAGAATCCATTTAAGCTACAAAACTGTGAGAGGACATGTATAAAGGGGATTCCACTAGATCCAATAGGGAAGTGACCCCTGGTGACCACACTACAGCTGAAACTGGATTTTACTAAAAATTTTCTTTCTGCATAAGACTGGTCACATTAACTTTATGGCAGTGGGTCAGTTGGCAACAGGAAGTGGTCTGACTATTTCCAGCAATAATGCTGAACTGCAACAAACATCCCTGCCTTAGTTTAAATTACAAAAACAAAATGCTGCATTTCCTCCTAGCAGCTTTGCCTTCCACTGCTAATATGTATTTCTGTATGAGTAGTTACTACCAGGTTACTTGGAATATGTGTCTGTATCCATGTAGAGTTCACTCAGGCCCCAAGACACCCTTTACCTCTACATGAGCCAGTCGAATGTTCCATTGGTGGTACAATCATCCTGTGATCAGATTCACTCTCCTTACCTGCAGGATCAGTGCCCTTCCCAGGAAGCTTGATGTCATTATTGATGTTTGGGCTATTGGCACCCTGGGCAGCTCTCAGCTGCTGCACCATCACTGGCTGGGTGCGAGGGACTTTAGGCTGTGGGACTTCATGCGAATCAACATACCTGCAGAGTGCATGTAATAAAATACAATTTGTGCAATGAAACTGTAATTTATAATATCCAGACAGGTATTGTTGACCTTTAAAATGAACGTTTTGATAGATCTAAGAATAGGCGTGTTTGTGTGTGTTTGCATACAGTAGATCACATTTGAGGACCAATCTGTCCCCAAAGTGTAGTAAAACCTGAAATTTCCCTACTTTTTGGGACATCTTTTGAGGTCCCCATGTGGATAACCTCAGTTTTCTAAAAATCTGTGAATACAATCAAAAAAGTAAAAATACCAAAAGTCTTATATTTGGGTTGGTTACTTATGGTTAAGGTTAGGGATGGGTAGAGGTTAAGGGTGTCGTGATTGGGATTATGGTTTTTCCCATAGAAAATAATGGACGGTCCCCATTTAGATAGGAAGACCAACTTGTGTGTGTGTGGTATATACAGTATAAATATACAGATACATAAATTCATAAATAAATGTATGTATAATGTATACTATATATATATAAAAGTAAAATTAATTTATTTTCAAAATAAGTTAATTATGATTTTTTTCTGTTTAATTTGTCAGTCACATACAATACAGTTAAGATGTTAGAGATTCTCCTGATAGTTTTGATCTGTAAAATTTGTAATTTGTTGGGTTTTTCTGTAGTGTTTTTGTATTTAGTGGGTGATTCTTAGTCAGAGAGGTTCAACTGCATGGTTCACCTCCACAGCAGATTAATCACAGAGTCTGCTTACAAACTCTGTGGATAGTTGATTAATCTGATTAAAATCCTAAGTATGTGCACACTGTTTGCATTAATACTTGCGTCCCCTGCAGAGGGTCTGTTTCTTCACTTGTACCTCAGTAGTGCTGATCTCACTGCTTTGACCGCCTGCTCATTTTCCTGACATTCCAGCAGCCCGTTTGTTTCATGGAAGGCGCAGTGGACGATTTGCACTATGTTGCTCCTGGATGGTTGCACTGTGATGTTGGTCATGTGACTGGGGCTGTGACAGTGGTGCATGAACACCAGGATGACAGGTTTGTTTACTGTGGAAGTAAGAAACCAAACAGGTTACTGTGGGCACTGATAGATGCTGTTGCTTCCCCTCCTGGTTTTTTACATCTTAAATAAGGTTAAAACAAAGAAAAGCTGTTTGCTTCCTAGGGTTGGCTCTTGGCTCAGTATTAACCTGTAGTGCACAAATTGTTATAGAAGGATGGATGGAGAAGTTATAAAAGCCAAGGTCCTTTGAAGTAAGGAAAATGTATTACACATTATTCCAGAGTCCAGGCTGACCTGCGTGTTTGTAAAAGATTTGGTAAGAAACAAATAATGATGATTCATATTCAATGCTGTTTTAATACTGTATGTGCATTATTATGGAGACACCACACATTGCAGAACAGTGTCAGACTTTGCTGTGACCGTCACTACCAGAGTAAAACAAAATATAGCTCCCCGGAACCAGAACTGGATGAGTGGAGGAGAATGGAGGGATGGATAATTACATAGACCTGTGCTGTTATTACACACAAAATAAAGTCAGGTTCATTTTGAAGTTAAACTTCATTTAATTTCCATTTGTTCACCATACCGCAGAGAGGACGTTGCTGCTTTAGAAGCGTTCCAACGCAGGGCTATAAGAATGATTCCTGGCCTTAGGGGGATATCTTACGAGCAGAGATTGGTAGAGCTGAATTTGTTTCAAGCTTGGAGACTAAGGGGTGACGTTCCAGGTATATAACATTCTAGGGTTTAAATGCTGTTCAATGAAATTAATGACTTGAAAGTAAGTTCTAATTCAGAAATGAGTGAGGGAACACTAGTTTGGATCTTCTCACAGCGTGTAATTGGATATGGAACAGTCTGCCCAAAGGGGTAGTGGAAGCTAAAACCCTAAATTCATTCAAATCTGAACTTGACAATATCCTGCCAACTTTAAATTATTAGTTTAATTCCCTCCAAACAAGCTTGATGGACCGAATGGCCTCCTCTTGTTTGTAACTTTCTTATGTTCTTTGTCTGATTCCATCCATCCCTCATCTTTACCTGCTTGTCTTATGCAGGGTTAAGGGGGTCCAGAGCCTTTCCTGGAAGCTATTGGTGCAAAGAATCACTCAAGTTGGGGCACCAACCCATCACAGGGCACACAGACCATTCAGCACAGATTCACACCTATAGACAGTTTGACAGCTCCTATTCATCTTAGAGTGTTTTTGTACTGTGGGGGGAAACCAGAGAACCTGAAGGAAACCCCACGATGACACGGGGAGAACATGCAAACTCCACATGCAACATGCAAACTCCGCACACTTAGAGCAAGAGCACAGACAAGGACAAACGGGTGTGGGGCTACAGTGTGAGTGACTGTCACTGTGCTGCCCCATTGTCTGAATCCATTATACAGTATATAAAAATGTGAGGAAGTCTTATTATTTTAGAAGTTAGAATCAGTTTATATTGATTAATTGTATCTACCAGATTACCTGCCAGTCAAAAAGAAAATCCATGATGAACCAAAAATTGTCAATATGTGCGTACATATAGTGTGTGTATACGTGCCCTGTGACGGGTTGGCACCCCATCCTGGGTTATTCCCTGCCTTGTGCCCGTAGCTTCTGGGATAGGCTGCGGACCCCCAGCGATCCGACATGGGACAAGCAGGTATAGAAAATGGACGGACAGATGGAAACAAAAAAAAATCGGGGAATGTGTCAGACTGGCTCAACAGCCTTGAGAGGCTGACAGGTTAATTGAAAAAAACTTGCCAGATATGGATGGTTTGTCATCCTTGTGTTTTAACAGGAAACCTTCTAATACGCAGCTTCTGTTAAGTAAATCACCAATGTTATTTTGGATTTCAGCACAAAGGCGACATACAGCAGAGACTGAATCCTGTCTCACCTGTAACTCTGGCCATTGCTGCATCCATGTCTGTCCTAATATGAGAAACAACAGGACAGAAGACCAGGATGACGTTGCTGTTCTCTGCACTGCAGAGCTCTATCTGCAGTTTCAGCTTTTGTATGAAGGTTTCATGGGTTTTGAAAGTTTCTCCGGCAACCAGCATGTGGACTTTAACTGGGGAAGAGAGATGGAATTTAAAAATGAGTTACAATTGTCATGAACAGGAAACATTCACGAAAACTTTCTATATACAGATTCCTTCTATGTGTCATGGATCCACCTATGTGGTAAAATGTTCTCAATTTCAGACTAGATAAGATGGAGAAGAGGAATTTAATGTGAATTTTAATGTTATGGATAAATTTGTAATTTAGATGGAAAAGGCAGGAACACTGTAGCTGAGACTGAAAGTGAATCATTTCGGATGGATGATATTGAATTTTTTTGTTT